AATAATATTTCACGACGTCGAAGGCTCGTCGTTATGCGGTATCATCACACGGCTTTCTTCGAACTCCCGCTGTTTGTGAAATGCCGACTTGCCGACAATGCATTCTGCAGACTTGTACCGGGCGTGCAAATAAATTAAATTAGTAAAAATAAAAATAAAAATACCTTTTTTGTTTTCATATATTTGTAAATCGCAACAATAACTTTTCAATGTAAATGGCAGATGTAAGTCATCATATTCTATTCATTTGCTGGACAGACTACATCAAGAGAAATCAAAATTAAACTCTGATATTTTTAACAGTATATTTAATATCACACATTTAAAAAAGTAAAACCGGTAATAAAACTTAACAATGATAAAGCAGCACACAATATTTGAAGGGTGTATAAAAAGTAATGTGTAAATATTTTTTAAATATCTCTTGCAAATGTGCAAATATAGACATGAAAGTTTAAAATAATGTCTCAGTTCTATTATGACTAGTTTTATTTATCTGAAATTTAAAAATATATAACAACATTAACTATTTTTTTTCTGGAACTACACAAATTATGTTAAAAAATTAATTTCATATCTGTAGATATAAGTGAATAAATATATAATTTAGTTTTGATTAAATTAATCATAAATAATGGTCCAAGTTATTCGGTCCAACTAAGCCGAAATTATTAATAATAAATTAAGAATAGCCATTAAGATAACTGATTAACATTAATTTCAAATGCATTAAAGTTCCTGCATCAGCATCAAAATGTCAGGTTTCAGGTAGGTGATGTTACCAGAAGCTTTTATTTCTTCGTCAAATGCTGGATCCCATTGGAAAATTAAAATTGTTGCTGGAACAAGACGCAGATCTGCTAATGTACTGTCGTAATCCTTATCTTCAAACCTTAAGCCTGTTGGTGCTGTAAGAACGAAGGGCAGGCCGTCATGCTCTAAACTGTCTCTGACGAATTCTAGTATATCTATAAATTTTTCGTACACTGAAAAAGTTCCCTAAAAAATATAAAATATATATTAAAAACAGATTCTGATTTAAATAAAGAGTTCAATATAATGCCGCGACTGCACAGTCGGCGATTTCCGAGCGCTCATCATCGGACTTCGCCTTTCCGTCCACACATGCGGGCATCGCCGAGCTCTGATCGAGAGGGTCCACCAACAACATAAAGACGGGGTCCACGTCGCCGAACTCCAACTTCCCCGTCCACACTGATCGGAGATCGGCGACGAGCGCTGGGAAATCGCCAAATGCCGCGTGTGCGGTCGCGGCATAAGCACAACTATTTATTTGATTTTTTTTCAGAAATATATTTGTATCCATTTGATGTTATTTTGTTGTAGTTTTTACGTGTATTTTACATCAAAACTTTTATCGCGGGTAATCCTGTTAATAATTTTAATAAGTTTGAATTTAATAAAAAATAAAATATCTTAATTGCTTTGTAAAGAAATTATTTTTCTCATTTTACAAGTCAGTTTAATCATTAAATTTTACTTCCAAGATTTGGGACATTCAATTTTTCAACTCAAGCAGGTTAAAAATGACCAGCGGTGCGGTGCGTTACAAATGCTTCTCCAATGTGACCATGTTCATTAGAAATATTATGTCAAAATTACTTCTAGGCATCGCTCGGGCGACATCACGTAAGCCTGCGAGCACATTGACGAGCGGCATCGCATAGCACCGATTGCTTTTCGTTTTTGTTTGAATAGCAAACGGTATCACGATATGGATAGGTAGTAGTTGAAATGTGAATTTATTTACTCTTTTTAACCCAACGATCGAACTTTTCTTGTCGACAACGAAACATCGGCAGGGTGTGTAGGGATTGCAAATTTACTGACTTCAATTTATCGGTTTTTCCTTATCACAATAGCAGAAAAAATATAAAAGCAACCTCTATCAAATTAAAACAGCATTTTCAAATATTTCCAATAATTCCTTCTTGTTGAAAATATTGCATTTCTGTTTTCAAGGTTTGGGCAATAGTTATAGTGTATATTTTGCAGCTGGTTTAGCTTAATTGGTTTATGTTTTTTTTTCTTATTGAAAGAAACAGATTTTCCTTAATCGACAGTAGAGTTTCTGCCGATGTTAAAGAAACCGGATTATTAGCGCACTTAGGGCTCGAACTCACTGACGACCAGGTCGCAACGACCTGGCCGGATGTATTGCGTTTTTAACTGCGGCCAGATGAACGACCAGTTTCAACAGAGTTGTCAAATCTAACGATTTTTTACGTTTTACCAATTAGAAAATATTGTTTCAGAAATGTTAAAATATCCGAGTTAACTAAAAAGCGAAGTTGCTATTCACAACAAACAAAAAGCATTGTGTATGCGCGACCGACAAAACGGAGATATTCTGTTTCTTTTTTCTACTGATATGGCGCCGTTATCGACTTTAGAAGTAAACATATTAGGGCCATCGTAAAAAAAGATCGTCAGACACAGGCTCTAAATATAAGCAGGTAGAAAGTTTAGCTTCCAGTTAATTCAATGTTTACAATATAACGAAGAATCTACAACGGTAATTACTTCTATTTTTATGAATGTTTAAGTTACTTTGTTATTTTTTTTTTCAAAATAATGTACCTAGTAGAAATATAGTCTAATAAACCCTGTTTGAAAAACGTTAAATTAAATATCATATTTAAAATACAGTTGTCCTCCTTGTACATGACTACAATACAACTAAAAAAACTAATTTAATAAAAAAACATGTGGTTGTAGAAAACCTTTAAATATTATTCTTTTTATTTTTTAAACATCGAAACTCAAAGTTATAATAACAGGTATCATACCAACCATAAATAGAGTAGGTATGTCATATAAAAATGTTTTGAGTTTTTACTAGAATCGACCCTTGATAAAAATAAGGGGTTAGATTTAAGTTTACCTTTGATCCAGTGTGTATAATATTTCTTTGGATTTTTTGCACGTGTGCAAAAACTACACTAAAACACTATATCTTATAGAAAATAAAATATTGTGCCTTGAATTTGAGGGATTTCATCTGAAAAATTATTAATTTGGAAGAAAACCGGCAACAAGCGGCAGAAAATAATATTTCCGTGCAGTCTTCTGGTCGCAACGACCAACGGACGGCCAGGACGTTAGTGTGCGCTATATCATTTGATTTAATGGTTTTAGAGGTAGGTGCGGCCTGGCCGGTGCGACCTGGTCGTCAGTGTGTTTGAGCCCTTAACTTTGACCATTTTACAGAGTGAGTTAGAATTAACGAATTCAGTCATAACGTTGTAATTTTTAACTTTGAGATCTGTTGAACTAGCTTTTCCAAAGTCAATTGTAATAGGATGAGCGTCTTAATTTTGTCACTGTTTTTGTCGACGGCATTAACAGCATCGTCTGGACCAGGGGCTGATACAGGAATTTATTTTAGAGGGGGGGCAAATAAAAATTAATATAGAATATGCTTTTTAGGGCGCCATTTTTAACCCAAAAGCCTAATATTTAACCCAATTTATAGATTTTAGGGGGGGGGTAGGCCCCATGCCCCCTCGCCCCTTCTGCATCCGCCACAGGTTTGGACAAACGAATTAAGAGTCGCCGTAGTTGCAATTCTCTTCGGAAATACTATACACTATTGTCTTTGTTATAGCGGAGTCGGTTTTATGTGTTTTCACATACAATGGTTATACATATTTTAATAATTAAAAACAAATAGCTTCTGGCTGCTAGATTCTAGACTAGTGTATATTTTTTAATTACTACTAAAATTACCGGTATTTTAACACGATTTATCGGTATATTTTACCGCGTTTTTAGGACATTTAACCGATAAATCGGTAATGCAATCCCTAACAGGGTGTCAATTTTTTAAGTTTTTATGGAATGAAAAATATAAAAAATAACAAAAAAAACTGAGATCGTCAAGGAATTAAGGAGTAACAATTTGGAGGATTAAAACTTATTGGACTACTACGCACTATATTAGATTAGTGTCAAAGTCTAGTATCTCAATATATCTAGAATTCAAAATAAAAAATATGGAAAGAGGTTTCAAATGAGGCTAATCTTTATTGTCGTCGTGGTTTGAAGACAAAACGCAGTAGTAATGTCCATTGTAGTATACAATACCTTTTAGAGTTTTTCAGCTGCTTGAAATTGAAACTTTTCTTTTGAAGTCTGTTTTCTACTTTGGCTAAGATTAGGCAAAAGCCCCAACACGAAGGAACTCAGCATACACGAAGGAACTCAAGTTATCTGGATGGATTACATTGATGTACATGATATACATACGAGTATACCGGGTGCGTCTCAAAAGTGGCTCACCCCTATAACTTTATATCCAGATAATAGACGAGATTTAATATATTAGTATATGACATAGATTAGGATTGATTGACGTATTTAATTATTGTATTTTGGTTACTTCCTGTTTCACCGGAAATGACTACAACTTTTGATTTTTAAATGGCACCCTCGGTATTTTTACTTTATTCGATAGAAAATGAGACTTTGAATAGAATGACATATCATATGTCAACTTTTGACATTTTCGTTATGGTTCATTTGAAATTGTAACATGCTGTTCATAATGACATTTTCACTGGAAATACCAAGTGTGTGGTACCAAATTATTCGTAAAACATGCTTTTTCCAAATATGCTAATGAGCCACCCTCGATCCATTGAAAAAATTCAGATATTAAAAATACGATATGGGTATCTTTTAACTCCCAGATACCAATTTTTATCCAAATATTGATGTTACTTCAGAAATTATTAGGAAAAAATCTCTCTCGGAATAAAAATGAAACTTCTACACCCTGTATCTCCGAAACTAAGCCATTTTGGGACATGCATTTATACGAACTTTTTGGCTTATTTTTATCTGCAGAATATTCTGACGAAGTTTTCGGAATACAGTTCGGGCCACCATTTATATGCTGGCTAAGATATAGCTAAAAAGTTTCAACACGCACACGAAAGAACTTAAAATATCTGGAGAATTTACATCCAGGTCCATGATATAAATGATGAATTGTCGAATTAAACTGATACAATCCTTTTTTGTTCTTTTTAATTAAAATTAATAAAGCTACCAATTAATAGATAACCAAAGTAGTAATCTTGCTATCTACGACATATCTAAACCAAAAACGCTCACGGAAATGCTTGTTGAACAAGCAATAGCAAGGGGGCAATACCGAGGGCTTTTGGCGTAATTAACGCTCGCCACTCGCCAATGTGCACACTAGTGATGAGCAAATGCAAGACCAAGACTCCTTTCGTCTTGGTCTTGCAGTTAATAAGTAGTCTGGATCTTGGTCTTCCTGCAAGACTCTTGCAAGTCCTGCATTTTTTGAATAGATTTTTACTAGATGCTTTCAACATAGAAAATCTTCAAATTTTTAGTAATTTAATGCAAAGAAAAATATTATATTGAATCAGCATAAAGTTATATCACACAAACGTGAAAAATGCAAGATCGCAAGAGTCTTGCATGCTTGGTCTTGATCTTGCGGAAGTCTTGCACTGGTTGGTCTTGGTACTGAAGATCAAACGCCAGTCTTGGTCTTGTTTTTTGTACAAGACCAAGACCTGTCTTGCTAATCACTAGTGCACACCGTGCACACAACCTAACGCTTTCCGTTTGGGCGGTGTTTGTGAACTACTGTTTTATTGATTGATGTGAACGTAACAAATACGTTACTATCAACATTTATAAATCGTCAAATTCCTTATGTCAATTATTTCGAAACTTCTAGTTAGTTAAAAAAAAACGAGTTTTGAGCATGCTCAAATCAATTTTGAATTAACATTAGCCCTAGGAATATTTCTTAGGACTCGTTAGGACTAAGGTTAATGTTAGGATCGATGCGTTGGAAGCATGAACACTAACGTTTGTTAACGTTGAATGATATCCTTAGGATTAGGATTAATGTTAGTATTAGGGTTAAGATCGGAAGCAGAGAAGAACAATCGTAGAGAAGCAACAAAACGAATCCCGCCTAAAAATTCGGAGTGGGGGGTAAACATGCTGTCAACTCAACGTGTTTTCGGAATATGGCCAGCGTTGCCATTATTAATATAAAGTCCTGAAATCTTACTATTTTTTATTTGTGCATATAATTAATCTTTTTGAATTATTTTTTCTATATTTATCCTTACCATAATAGTACTTAAATATAGAACTAACTTTTAGAACTAAATATTATTAAAACCTAAAATAGACGCAGGTTTGTTAGCGTTTAATAAAAAATAATTAGAAAATTAAAACTATTAGAAAATGAAATATTTAATCGCATATCTAATGTATTAGCGACACTAATTTGAGTTGTGTTATCTTTAATATAATATGTTTTTTTATGTAAAATATGATTTTTTAATACACATGATGAGTCTTAAATAAGTGTAAATATTTTCAGGGCTGGTAGGTCTCGATAAATGAAGCTATTTTTTCTCTTTACCGTTTTTCAAAAAAGTCTAGAACCGAGATTTTTTGAAAATAAAAAAAAATTGCTTACATTTTCAGAACCGCTGAATCTTTTCTGTGTTTCCTTTCTCTTAAATTTAATCTACCATCTATGTTCTCTCTAAAGATATGTTTTTAATCATTTTAGTTTTAATAATCTGCTGATGCACTGCAGAAGTAAAGTGTTTTGGTGTATTGTGGTCAATTAGTGTTTTATTTTACTGTTGTAATACCTCAGTTCAACCCTCAACTGTAACCATGTTATTTACTTTTTGGTTTGTTATAACGCTTGTGATAACAGCTGATAAATATTCGAATGTTTCTTAAAATTGTTTTACTTAAAAACACACTTTCAAATATTAATTTCGAAGCAAACAATATTATCAGATACGATTAGAAAATGTCTCCCTAAAAGGAATAGGTTAGAAAATGGTTAGAACGCGGTAAATTCACAAATCGCGGAAACCCGTTAAATCTTAAAAGATAGTTACTATTCGATATGATTCCTAAATATCTCTAATATACTTTTTACCGAACACATGTTTTTTTCAGTGTACAGCTTTTCTTATTTCTTTTGCCTTCATTGAATTTCTCTCGGTGTAGCTATAACATGCTATCTCTCATGTACGTCAATTTGAAGGTCACAAAACTTGGTCCCCCCTACTTCAATAGTGCCGACGGTTTTTGTCGCTTCTCTACGATTGTTCTTCTCTGTCGGAAGCATGAACCCACTACAGTTATATTTGTCATGTAAAAAATAAAAGTGTATTGAGGTTAAACAATTAAAACTTACCTGTAAGTATATTCCATCAGGAAACCTCACTCTTATAAGAGAAAATTTATATTTCCTTATCTCTCTCAGTTCATCTTTTTCTCTCATAGCTTTAGTTCTTAATTGCAATTGTTTTTCTGCTATTTCAGATCTGAAAAATATGTTTTTTTTTATATATAGAAAATTACTAAAATAGGTAATTACCTCGACTGCTGTTCTCTTTTAAGTTCGTCTGGCGATATTGCATAAAAATCTTTGGGTAGATCAATTTTTACAGATGCCTGGGCTGGGGAAAGAATCTGTACATTTCTGTCTAATTCCAGTTCGACTCTGTTTTCGGATTTTAAGGCATCTCTCAAAAACTGTGGAAAAAAATAAAGTACAAAAACATTAATAGTTTTAAAATAGAATGAAACTACTTAACAAAAGTTTTTGTTGGATATTTCACGATATCTTTTAATTTCACGAGGTCTTTAATTCCACGAAATTTTCTAATTTCACGTTGTCTTTTAATTTCACGATATCTTTTAATTTCACGATACCTTTTATTTGATTGTTTGTTTATGTATCCTCCTGGTATTGTCTGTATGACATTTAGATTGTCATCGGAATTATTATGGTTTGTGGATTTATTTGTTATAGATTTGTATATGCCATGAACGTCAGATTATTATAATATATTGTTATTTTAGATTTATAAAAAAATTAGGGGGGAATTATTATTATACACATACAGGTGCTTTTTGCACCTAGGTGTATTTATAAATTTGTTGAATTTATTGAAATAGGTTAAGATTATTGTTAGTAAAATTGAATGTATCAATGTAAAATAAATAAATAAAATAAATAAAAGTATAAAATTTGTCAATATTAGTATGTAGTTAGTTTTGCTTGCGATGTCGCATATTGTATACAGGGTGAGTTTCCTACGATGTTCTCTATGGGAATCTCGGACACTACTGGAAATAGAGAGTCGGTTAAATGGGGAAAGAATTGCAGTTTTGTGAGGTCATAAATATGCGCCTTTCAGATGTTTGAAAAAGTTCATCGCTTACTAGATATTTCGAAAAAAACAAATTTTGGCTATTTTAAAAATTGTCCCTAATTCCATTATAATCTATTTTAGACAAAAAGTGTTCAGATACAAGTTGTAAATAATCACATCCTTAATGAGATTGTGTCCTCCGTTTTTCTCTAAAGCCTGTCATTTTTGACATATGACACAAACATATGTTTTTTTAAATGGAAACCATAGTTGGCCATGACTTCATAAAAAGCGCCATTTCTTAAGCTTTTCAGCGATATAAGCTATAATATGTTTTCTTCGAAAAATTACTGAGTTATAGCCAATTCTTATAATTTTTAAACAATTTCACTTAGTTAGCCATGGAAACAAGTTTAATCATCTTTGCTCTCATAAATGTGAAGCTGTCACATCCAAACTTTGTAAATTAAAATAAACAAAAATTGTAAATATGAATTTTTCAACTGAAGAAAAACGTGTAGAATTATTGGTTCAACTTTTCTTGACCATATATTTTCGAGGATACGTTGACCGGTGAATGTTGCGTTTTTTAGAGAACGGTTTTCAAGACGTATTAGAAAAGTTAAATCAATTATTGCCAAATTCTTATCTTTCTTGACTAATTTCATGGTATTCTTATTCTGTTATGATATATAACTTATAAAAAGTCAGAATATTTTATTAAACGGTTCTTTACAATTTACATTACACAAACTAAAACTTAAAAAAATAATATCACTACATACACTTTAAGTTATTTTAGAAAATGTTCAAAAAATCCGCCATTATTTTGAGTTGCATCTTTTTAAAACTGAATTACTACCTATTCTCACAGAAGGACCGGTCAACTTAACTAAACTTCTCTCGTATCGCCATTTCGAGTGCCTCTCTTAATTCATAAGGTTTTTTGTAACCGTTGGTTGGTGTAATTCGTTGGTTTCTTGTTAACTATACCGCATAAAAAAATCTAAAATGGATAGGTCAGGTGATCGAGGAGGCCCATGCAATAATTGATCCACCTCTTTCTATCCCTGAGTACATAATTATGATATAAATAATGTTTAACATTTCTTTCATTATGGGAGGGTCATAATGAAAGTCATGTTGGAACCACTCTATTGATGCGCGAGTATCTACACGCTTTTCTTCATTTGAAAAATTCCTATTTACAATTTTTGTTTATTTTAATTTACAAAGTTTGGATGTGACAGCTTCACATTTCTGAGAGCAATGGCGATTGAACTTGTTTCCATGGCTAACTAAGTGAAATTGTTTAAAAATGATAAGAATTGGCTATAACTCAGTAATTTTTCGAAGAAAACATATTTAGCTTATATCACTGAAAAGATTAAAAAATGGTGCTTTTTATGAAGTCATGGCCAACTATGGTTTCCATTTAAAAAAACATATGTTTGTATCATATGTTAAAAATGACAGGCTTTAGAGAAAAACGGAGGACACAATCTCATTAAGGATGTGATTATCTACAACTTTTATCTGAAAACTTTTTGTCTAAAATAGATTATAATGGAATTAGGGACAATTTTCAAAATAGCCAAAATTTGTTTTTTTCAAAATATCTAGTAAGCCATGCACTTTTTCAAAAATCTGAAAGGTGCTTATTTATGACCCCACAAAACTGCAATTCTTTTCCCATTTAACCGACTCTCTATCTCCAAAAGTTTCCAAAATACCCATAGAGAACATCATAGGAAACTCACCCTGTATGTATATTCAGTAGGTCTGAGAATAGGTTGTTATCTATTTTTATACCCTTAAGTGACAAGGGGGGCCCACCCCAATTTTTCTTATTTTTTGGACTACATTTTTAGTTTTTGTTTTTTTTTCGATGTGGCATTAAAAAATACATACAACACTAAATTTTCACTTTCAAATAGGGGTTAGTTTTTTTTTAATTTTTTGTTACCATACTTCTCCGTAACGGCTTCACCAATTTTGATGAAATTTTATATGTATGTATATTCAGTAGGTCTGAGAATAGGTTGTTATTTATTTTTTATACCCTTAAGTGACAAGGGGGACCCACCCCAATTTTTTATATTTTTTGGACAAAATTTTTGTTTTTTACGATGTGTTAAAAAGAAATTTTAATTTAAGTCTAGCGTTTAATATTTTTTCTTCAAAATGGATCGGGTACCCCACATCGTCCAAAAGGCCGTTTAAAAATAAAGGTTTATAAGACATGTCTGTATTGGAAAGAGTGTTAGAAGTTAAAATTTCGTTACAATACCTATATACCTATATTTTTTTTAATAAATATTGCTGGCCATTTTATGCTGAATTGTGAAGCTCTGCAATTTGTTGTCTGTGGCCATATCGTCAGTTTCGCGTAAATTGTATGTTACTTGTTCTATTTAAGCAAACTCAAACTGATCGCAAATTTAATTATTTCTAAATATTTACGACAAATATTTATAAATGATTGTAATAAATATTATGAATTCATTATTTTTTCTAATATTTATAAAAAGTAAAGTAAAAAAGTAAAAGTAAAGATTTCAGTTAGTTAATGTCCTTTTTGCTGCCAGGGCTAATCTGGACGGGGTCTATTTTGTTTACGCGGAATCCGAACCGCGGTCCTCGGCCATATCATGGTCAGTGGCCTACCGACTTAGGAAGTGTCTAAATTAACTCTTACTCACGAGATATCCGATCTCATCCGGCCTCGAACCGGCGTGAATGAGCAGTGTGTATCAATAGATTTTACACTTTTCCTTTGGACAACAGCACGATACAGAGTTTCGAACCGGTCATCCGTCCATCCACCAGTATCGCCTTACGTCGCTTCACTTCGGTGTTCTAATGGGAACCGGTGTTTCATCGTAGCTAGGCCGTTGCCCCTAATATTTATAATTTTATTATATTTTTTCTAATATTTTTACATAAATTCAATGACGCTTTTTATATATTAAATTCCTAGTAACCCTAGGTGTTTATTTTGAAAATGTACATGGTTATATATTATATAGAATTGTAATATTATTATTATTGTGTTATGAAAAAAACATGTACTAGTATTAAGTTGTACAGTTTTTTTTATTTAGAAATATGTTAACGTTTTGTAAAACAATAAGTTAACATATTTCTAAATAAAAAAAACTGTACAACTTAATACTACATAATATGGTAGACCTAGATATTTGAATAAACATTATTATGATTATTATTATTGCTTCAAAATTATTCTTAAAATAATATACCTCCTCTCCTACTTACGGAACTATCTGAATTATGACACTGTTTACTTTATTGCCAATTTAAAAAAACATTATTAAGTATAAATGCATTTCATATTATTTTTATTTAAAATCAAAAATTAAATAAATGTAATATGGAATAAAAATTAAAAAATACGTTATTTTAAGTTCTGACGCTGGAGAAATAAATACTTCTATCAAATAATATAGGAATTATTCCGATGTGATTTACACTGAATGCGTCCGACCAAAAATCAGGCGGTGGGGAACCGAGAACGGACCGCCTTCCACAGCACACCCGCTCTACCCGACCCCTGAGACCGACCCGAGCGGTGTAGCGCAAATGGACTCTTAAGTAAAATGTCTGAAATTAGGTGGAACAATTGCCGTAAATTAGCCGTAAATACACCATGCAAACGAAAAATTTGCCGCTCTATTTGTTTACAAAATCGATAATTTTTTTAATTAACGTAAACGATAACGTTAAATTATGGTAAATTTATGGTAACCCAATGGTAACACACATTTTAAAAATATTTTTGTCAGCATACAGGATGATTCAAACATATTTTCAAACCAAAGTTGTATATTTTTAAATCGCGCTAATAGAACGTTATCGCTTACGTTAATTGAAAAATTATCTATTTTATAAACAAATAATAGAGCGGCAAATTTTTCGTTTGCATGGTGTATTTACGGCTAATTTACGGCAATTGTTCCACCTAATTTCAGACATTTTACGTTTACTGGAATGGTTGTGCTAACTTAATATATGATCTTGGCGCTATTACATTTTTTGTTGCAGGGGGATAGAGAATTTTCTTATTTAATATCGATTTTTGGCATTAATAAAACAAAAAGATTAAACAACACCTTGTTCGATTATGATACAAAATATAGGGTGTTCCATTTAAAATAGTAGATAAAAATACAACATTTAGTTTTGACTCGCTCTGTATATATCAAACAAGATTGCAAATTTTGTAAACCGAACTTTGAAGAAGACATTATTATACAGTACTCCCTGTTAAACATTTTTAAAATTCTTGGAATTTATAATTTTCAGAATGCTTTAAATAAGCAGTAAATTTAGTTTAAAAACGGTTATATTTCAAAAATTATTCGGTATAGTATATGAAATTGGGGTATTTTGAAACAGAAATTTAGTGGCAAATCCACTGAGCTAAGAAAATATATAGCATTCCATTTAAAAATATGCAATTTTGGTTTGAAACTATGTTTGAATCACCCTGTATGCTGACAAAAATATTTTCAAAATGTGCGTTACCACTGCCTCCATATTATATAAAAAAATGAAATGAAATTCACAAACCAAAAACCTAACATAGAGCTTTTTCGGAAGCCTGAATCACCCTGTAGATTTTATAAAGAAATAAAAGAGCGGCAAATTTTTCGATTTCACGGCTTATTTACGGCATATTCCTTTTGTACTAAAAAGTTATTATTGATCCCATTTAGTGAATTTTAAGAAAAATAGCGCTAATTTAACGTTATCGTTTATGTTAATTAAAAAAATTATCGACTTTGTATACAAATAATAGAGCGGCAAATTTTTCGTTTGCATGGTGTATTTACGGCTAATTTACGGCAATTGTTCCACCTAATTTTAGACATTTTACTTAACGTTTACTGGAATGGTTGTGCTAACTTAATATATGACCTTGACGCTATTACATTTTTTGTTGCAGGGGGATAGATAATTTTCTTATTAAATATCAATTTTTGGCATAAGAAGCACTTAATGAAGCAAAAAAATTAAACAACACCTTATTCGATTATGACACAAAATACAGGGTGTTCCATTTAAAATAGTAGATAAAAATACAACATTTAGTTTTGACTCACCTTGTATATATCAAACAATATTGCAAATTCTGGTAGACCGAATTTTGAAGAAGACACTATTATACAGTACTTCCTGTTAATTTTTTTTTAAATTCTTCGAATTTAGAATTTTCAGAGAGCTTTAAATAAGCAGTAAGTTTTGTTTAAAAACGGTTATATTTCAAAAATTATTCGGTATAGTATATGACATTGTATTATTTTAAAACAGAAATTTAGTGGCAAATCCACTGAGCTAAAAAAATATATAGCATTTCATTTAAAAATATACAACTTTGGTTAGAAAATATGTTTGAATCACCCTGTATGCTGACAAAAATATTTTCAAAATGTGCGTTACCATTGTCCCCATATTATATTAAAAAATGAAATGAAATTCACAAACCAAAAACCTAACATAGAGCTTTTTCGGAAGCCTGAATCAATATTTTTGGTCCCATTTAGTGAATTTTAAGAAAATTCGCTCTAATTTAACGTTATCGTTTACGTTAATTAAAAAATTATCGATTTTGTAAACAAATAATAAAGCGGCAAATTTTTCGTTTACATGGTGTATTTATGGCTAATTTACGGCAATTGTTCCACCTAATTTCAGACATTTTATTTAACATTTACTGGAATGGTTGTGCTAACTTAATATATGACCTTGACGCTATTACATTTTTTGTTGCAGGGGGATAGAGAATGATCGGAGAACGGCAAAAGAAACGGCAAATTCCTGCTATACTATAAAATTCCTAACTATGTTCTTTCACTGATTTCCAATGTGGTGGTTGTGCTAACTTAATATTAACTTCGATTTAACATACTTAGCGAAGAGCGGCAAATATTTCGTTTTCACGGCAAATTTACGGCAATTATTCCACATAGTTTCATACATTTTTTTAAGTGGTTGTGCTAACTTAACACACGTAGATAATACCGTATGATCGAATAAAAACGGCGTCAGCGATGGCTATGAAATGAAGATCGCTGTCATTTTATATGTAAATTTATATGGAAAATGTCATCGATCATCATTTCCCAGCCAACTGGACGCCGTTTTTTTTCGATCATACGGTATATCTAAGCTAAATATAATTTACTACATCTGTAGTAAAATGCGTAACTAATTGTGAAAAATTCGGTTCCAACCCTAAACATTTTCCATAAACGCCTACTTCTGCGGTTTGAACTGATTGAAATTCCGGCAATACCGCATAGAATAATGTATCAACCCAACTTTTATCTCTTTTTAATACATTGGATTTTCCATTAAGCTGCCTACATCACTGTCTTACACGTTAAAATCCAGACCATACTTCTAAAATGACCAAATCGTTATATATATTTTAAATTGTCCAAATATTGGCTTCCCTGTTGATTTTACAGCGAAGTCGTAAATAGCGTTTTTAAAGGTCTGGTTACGGTAAATACACATGCCAAATTTTAACAATTTTTAGAGAGGAATCGATTCTCACGATTCTTTTTAAATACTAATTCAAATTGATGGGCAATTCGGTCAGTCATTGCCCAGGCTCTAGAAGGAACCAAAAACGCACAAGGTACCTTCTGCATAATGAAAACGTTTAAGTTCAGTTAAAAGTAAATCTCTTGAAACGTTAAACCGGGATAAAAAATTCTGGGATAGGCTAGGCCAATGTTTTTACATGAGCCACCGACAAACTGCTTTCCATTTGAATTCTAACCCAGTCCGGCATTTAAAAAAAATAATTTACATCATATATTACCTCTAGTGTCTGTAAACCATCAATATTTTCTTCAGACCAAACCCAAAAGTCTTCTTCAACACCGTTATGATCTAACTTTTGCTGCCGAAATCCAGCTGCATATAAGAATTCGATGGCTCCCAATAATGGTGTGACCTTTTCTACAAATGTGGCATTAGAACACCTGATCTTATGGAATTTAGTTTCTGTGGGATTCCCTATGATGTTGTCTATGTACCTACATAGTATATTCACGCACTCTGTAACCTAATAAGAAAATCTCTTTTAGCCTTACAAAAATACAATACTGCTTTTTCTAGTATTTTTGAAAGGTAGTGATAAACTAACAAAATTTTCTGTGTGTAATAAGTCGCTGTCTGCAATTCAAAAATACAATGTTTATTCAGTCATTTTTGGATGTTGTCTGTCGCAATTACATATTTTTTCACTAGACAGACCACCTAAAAAAGATAAATCCAAATCGTTTAAATATCTCCTGTATCTTAGAAAATTAATTAGACGAGTTAATTTTTGAAACAACCGATGATATGATTATGAAACTGGTAAACTCACAAATCACATGGTGAACAAATGATCGACAAATAATTGGAAATTGGATTTGTCTAGTACTATATACTAACTATTTTTCGTTGTTCGCGAAAAAATATGCCTCATTTTGGAAACTTTACTTGCTACATTGTTGAAAACGACAGAATCTGTTTTGTGTCAATTTTGTCCATTTGGGGGAAATATTCTCAATTGGAAATATTATCCTCCTTTAGAAATATTCTCACTTAATTTTTTACTTGATTTTAGCGTCCTTTATATTTTTAGAGGACAAAAAAATTTATACAGGGTGTCCCAGAAATGAGTGCAAATATTTTAAGGGGTGGTAGATCTGGTCAAAAGAAACATATTTTCTCTTTACCATTTTTAAAATAAATTGAAAATAACCGAGTTATTTAACTTTGAAAGTTTTAAAAATAAATTGCGACATTTTAAGAGCCGGGGAAATCGGCAATTTTCCGGATCTTGCCTTGTTCGCCGCCCGCTGTTGCCGGGACTAGAAAGTCTTAAAAACTACTTGCAAAATTCCATAACACTAAGTGGATGATCGCCAGTAGCCATACTTCCCAAATTAAATTAAAAGAAAAAAAAAACTTATCAAACATTAAAAAAGGATATCCCGATAGAAGATCGATATAACTGCAAAGCTTTCTTTTGTTTCAATTTTACCAGTCCTAAAACTGCCCTTAATACTACACTTAACTTCACTACAATTCTTAACAACACTTGAACTTTGATGCCACCTGAGAATCCAAACTTCCAAAATCCCTCAAATGCGGAACTATACTCATACTCACAGCTCACAGAGTTTACACTTGATAACGGTAAGTGATCCTTCCAAACCAAACTTCACCTGCCAGAAGGAAGTATGCAAAATTCACACTTTAGGTAGAGTTTAGAAGCATATCCACCTTCTCCGGATTTGTATAGGCCATCGCGATTTACCGATCCCGATACCGATTCTTCTTCTTAAGGTGCCGTGCAGATTTCTGCGTAGGCGTTCATCTTTTTCTTCCTCATCAAATGGTTCTGTTAACTGCCGCGACTTGGAGTGCTTGGAAGTCCTGTATGCCTGTCCAATGACGAATATTTCTCAGCCAGGATAGCTTCCTTCGTCCTATCCCCCTTTTGCACTCCTCTATTTTACCCTGGAGAATCAGACGCTGAAAGTGATAGCGTTCTCCACGTAGTATGTGTCCCAAATAGGCTATTTTCCTCTTCTTGATGATTTCGAAGAGTTCACGTTGTTCCAGACCAGCTCTTCTGAGAATGTCTTCATTCCTAACACGGTCGACCCAGGGCACTTTTAGCATTCGTCGTAGGGTCCACATTTCGAAGGCTTCAATTCGGTTTATTGTTGCTACCTTCAGTGTCCAGCTTCCACACCATATAACAAAACGGATCAGACATAGCACTTCACCATTCTGTATCTAAGGCCGAAGTTCAAATTCCTATCTGTGAGAAATCTTCGCAGTCTCAGAAAAGTAGATCTTGCTTGTTCGATCCTGCATTTGATCTCCTGATCCGGATCCCACGTTTCGTTAACCATGCATCCCAAATATTTAAATTGTGTGACCTGCTTGATAACCTCTCCATTTAAGTAAATTCTGGTGTTCGAATATTGTTTCTGCTAACAGCCATAAATTTAGTTTTTTGTAGTATTTATGTTTAAACCCAGTCTTTGACTTTCACTGTTAACCTTATTTAGAAGGATTTGGAGATCATTTGCATTGCCTGCCAATATCACTGTGTCATCCGCATATCGGATATTATTAATTGGAATACCATTTATTTTCAAACCAATGGGACTATCGGAGATTGACTCAGTGAATGCTCTTTCCACATATAAATTGAACAACATTGGAGATAGAATACACCTTGCCTTACCCCTTTTTATTTCAAAATCTTCTGTTACTCCCATGCTATGTATACGAATTTCAGCTTTTTGGTTCCAATACAAATTACTGATAAGCCTTTTATCTTTTCCATCAAGTCCCAAGTCTCTGAGGTATGATATAAGGAGGTTATGTTTAACGTTATCGAACGCCTTTTCATAGTCTATAAAGCACATGAAGACATCTTTTCTCTGATCTTGGCAATTCTGTACTAAAGTTTGAAGACTGAATATGGCTTCTCTAGTACCAAAGCCGTTCTTAAATCCAAATTACTTTCTCCACTTACTTCCTCACATTTTTTGTAGAGTCTTGTATGCAGTACCCGTAAAAAGAGCTTAAGAAAGTGGCTCATTAGACTAATAAGACGATACTCTTTACACGAAGTTGCGTTACTTGACTTGGGCAGCGTGATAAACGTAGAACGAAGCCAGTCTTCAGGGATATGACCGGTGTCATAGATGTTATTGAAAAGCTGTACTATAGTTTTTAAGTTTTGTTCATTAATTAAGTGGAACGTTTTGAATACATATCATCAGGCCCTGGAGTTTTGTCGTTTTTCATTAATCTAATCGTATGAATAATTTCACTTTCCAATATGCTTGGTCCTGATGGCATGGGAATCTCAGTTGCAGGGTTTTCTGATCTTTCGTCGTTGAAAAGATTAATGGTATAATTTCTCCAAGTTTGCAATAGTTCTTCTGTTTCCGTTCTAATTTTATTTTCGTCAGTTTTAATTAGGGTTATTGATTTATTATAGTGTAACCCAGCTATCTCTTTCACTTTCTTGTGAAGATGGAAACTGTCTCCAAGATGACTGAGATTTTCGGCCTCTATACATCTCTCCTTCAACCATGTCTCTTTTGCCGTTCTTATTTTATTACGAATTTTTCTTTACATAGATTTATATTCGTTGTGATTATTCTGGATTTTAAATTGTCTTCGTTGTTCCATCATTTTTAAAATATCTTCACTCATCCACTCGTTTTTCGCTGTTGTTCGATTAGCCGTGAGGAGGTTTTCATTTGTGTTCTTAAAAGCTTGCTTAATGCCCAGCCAATGTTTCTCAATGTCATTTGTAATAAAAACTGTGACACGAGAATTTTATATATTAGATGTATATCATTATTCACTTAAAAATTTCTAAATCCGCTCCTGGCGTGACCCCCACCAAAGGAACCCAGATCGGAAAAACAGGCAGCCTTCGCGCATTATAAAATAGAGCATTTGTTACCTCTTTCTCTTCTAACCTCTTTGTTACCGACACAAAAATATGCACTAACGAACATTTTAAACACAATCTCCGATAACTTTCTGGAGTTTTAAAAGCCATTCTATAGTTTTTAAGTTTTAAAAGCGATACTATTAGAACGATTTCTGATAGTCGAACGTGCTGATCATAGGTGCTGATCATCTTATTTATTAACCAAAATTAAACTCAAATGAATAAACCAGCGACATCATTAGAATAACGGATTAAACATTTTTTGTGAACGGACAATCGGCACTGTGGCATGCAAGGCAAGTCGTATTGGACGGGAACGGTAGAGGGTCCTAGTGCTCATAACGGTATTTACGATTTCTCGGGGGTTCCCAAAATCATTTAAAGAATGTAAACAAACCAAAATCAACGTATGTTGTACGTGTATCGCTTAAAGTTTTGGCACTTTTGATGTAAAATCATTAATTTTCTTTTGTGGGAGAGTTCAGAAGAGGTTTTAAGTAGTTATTAAAGCAATTTTTTAACATTTTTTGTTGTATTTGTGAGTTTAATGTTTAATTATTATGTGAAACATTTTAAATAATATTTTGCAAGTGATTTGTGATGTTCAGATTATTAGATATTTTGGGTGTATGTGTAATAGTATATGTTGGATAAAAATACTGATCAATTTTCATCAAAAGGGTAAGCTCTAACTTAATATTTAAAGATTATAATTGTTGCTTGAAACGATTGAAAAAAATTGCTAATATGGCGAAAAAGGGAAGCTCTTATAATTTATTTTTTTCAGCCTACTCAACTGTAAAAAGTTGTGCATTTTCCTAAAACTAGTATTAGCAATGTCCACTAATATGAAGAAATTTAGTTTTCGTATTTTTCTATAGAAACTTATGGCGGGTTTATACAACATAATCGTAATCATAATCACAATTTTAATCACAATCATAAAAGTTAAAACCCATATTTTAGATACGACCGTTTATACATCGCAGTCGTAATCATAAGCATAATTTAGTAACCTTGAGATTCGTAAATTTTAACTTTTTTGATTGTGATTTCGACAAAAATCGGTTAGGGGGCATAATTTTCTTTTTCATTTTTATGATTAATAATTATAATTTTCGTGTTTAAAAAACCTGAATAATAAAATTTAAACAAAAATACACTTCTAAAATGATTATGAAATAGAAAAATAAGAAAATTAGGTTACTTTATTAGCTGTATTTACATTCCAAGTTATGCGACTATGTTGTATAAACGCATATTAAAATTGTGATTATAACTGTGCTTATACTTAAGACAAAAATTATATGATTACCACTATGTTGTAGCCCATTAAAATTACTGTAAATTTATAAACATTTAGAATGTGGGTATGGTAGGAAGTGGCAACATTACATTCTTTCCGAGATTCTCTCTATGCAGGGTAAACGAATTTCCGGAGAGTGAACAGTGGCACTCAAAAGTTTTTCAAAATTTTCCGGAAAATGTCAAGAAAAATATAAAATTTTCAACATTTTTTTTTCGCAAAAAAAACCTCATAGGCGTGTTTCTGGGGTTGAACTATAATACCAGTTAAAATATTTGCACTCATTTCTGGGAGTATATCCTAAATATTTATACAGGGTGTTTCAAAAACATATGTCATCTTTCGTGGGGAGATTCCTCACGTAAAAATAAGACTTCTTTCGTATATCACCATAGGTTCGATTCTGCTTTATTTCGTATTTCGTAGCTACAGGGTGTTAAAGTCATAATATTTTTTCGATTTATTAAAATTTTCTTCCAAGTACTTTTAGCGTTTCGAATGAAATTTTGAGAGTAAAAGTTACTAGAAATGCGACATATTTTAAAGCTAAAAAAGTGCCGACATATTCACCAGGGACGTGCATATGGGTTATCACTAGAATATTTTTTCTACATGTACGCCACTGACTTTCTTTCTCTTTTTTTTCTCTCTCCACACTAGAGATGGCACGTTTATTGAAACACCCGGTATATCCTAAATTTAATTTAAGGCACATGAAATATGAAAGCAATCTAATCATGTGTAAGTTATTCTTTAGTTCTTTGTACTCAGTATTTACCAGTACAAACTTTTACCAGTACAAAAATTATGACTAAGCCTACATAAAATTATTGGCAAAGTAATAATTTTAGTATCTATAACAGATACTACCAACTAGTTAAGTCTGTTTAAAAGAAAATATAGAATTATTATACATTTTCAGGTAAAAAGTGAAAAATCTACAATGGTTGTCATTAGTGATGGGAAAAATGGTATTATTTCAATAATCGAATTATCAGGATATGAGTGATTTTAATAATCGGATTCGAATTATAAATCACTCATATTATAATCAATTCTCGATAGTGCACTTGCAACGTCGCAAGATCGTCGATAATTGGTTAGGTACTCAGTCAACCCTAATATGTAATCTTTGGCGTCGTCATAACCTCCGTAGTTAAATTAAAACAGGTCAAACAAACACACAACTTATTCATAGCGAATCGGATTATTTGTCTCACTCTCAGTCTCAATTAGTTTCTCGATAACGATAAAGAAAGAGATTACGCCGAACATCGACTACTCGTATTTGCGAGTCGTCGCAAACGATGTAATTATATTTTTTTATACTTCATTATAAAAACTTGAATTATTTTTCGATAATCGGATGATGACTATTATTTTCATAATCTAATTATGAATGATTTTTAATTTGAATTATCCCATCACTAGTTGTCATGTAATATTATACAATGTTTATACCATTCCAGATGTTTTAATGCATTGACAAAAATCTTAAAAATGCATTATAAACATCAAATAATTTTGCCAATGCTTATCTGTAGTTCTTGAAAATACTATAATTTATTCAAAAGACTATTTTTAATTGTAAGATATGAATAATAAAATAAATACAGACTTACCTTTGATCTATTATAATTACAGGAATACAAAATTAGGCAAGCTGTTATACCTCTCTCTTCTTCTAGAGCTGCGAACAAAAATTCTTTTATCTTTACTTTCCATTCTTCTTTAGATAAAATTTCATCACTTACTAATGGGCACTTGAAATAGACGCCTACAAAAAAGTAAAAGACTTTGATCTATTTTAAAAATTTCAAATTTACCTCCACGCTTGTGAAATATCTACAGCAATCCGAATTGTATTCGGGAAATTTCAGCAGCATATTCTGCAGAAAAAAATATGTAAAAAAATTTGATATAATTGTACGTCTTAAAATGCAACGTTTCGGAGATACAGGGATGTAGACTTTTCCATTTTTATTTCAATTTTTTTACCTAACGTCGATATTTGGATGAAAATTGGTGTCTGGGTTTTGATAAATTTGATTTCGATGTCAATATAACTCCTACTTGTAGGGGACTCCACCTACATATTTTTTAACTGGTTTGAAGAGTAATAACTTTCCGTCCGTACCTGTATAAAACTATTGAGTGAAAAAATATACATTTCCATTATTTTTTATGTAAAAAAGAGCTCTTGGTAAAAACTGCTAGAATTAATGGTTCTTGATATATTTGGAATGCCAATAATCAATATATGTTATCATTAAAAAAAGGAACATGTTGGCTAGATAGTTATTAATCTGAAATCATATATTTTAAATGTTTTAGTGTCAAAGGTTCAACATACAACCAACGAACTGTGTCATTATATTTTTTGAAAAAGGTATGTTTAATTAAAAAAGTTCCCAGACTTATAATTTCAGTTAAATAACTACAAGTGGTAGGCTTGACATCAAAATCAAATTTTTCATGTAAAAAACACTCAGACGCCAATGTTTATCTAAATATCGATGTTGGTTCAAAAATTATTTGAAAAAAATAAAAAAGAAACTGCTACACCCCGTATCTCCGAAACAAAGCATTTTAGGACATAAATTTATATACTAACTGTTTACCTATTATTATTTGTAAAATATGCTGCTTAAGTTTCCCAAGTACAATTCGGACCACCCTGTATCCAATACCCTTGGAATATATCAACAAGGATAATATAGAGATAATATAGTACTGTAAAAATATTTATTATATTTGTAAATAGCTTATCATCAGTGAAAGGTGTTGAACTCCCTTATTCCTAATTTTACATGAGAGAAAAGAAACGGTACACGCGTAGCAAGTATATTTATGCATTAATATGAGAAAGAGATAACAATAATATTTGTTGGGGAACAATAAAACTCAATATTTCTATAAAAATTTAACGTAAAAATAATGTATTAAAGATATTATTTAATTAAAGTCAAAAATGGAGTTAGCAGGTTAACGTTTCACTGAAGTTATGCTATTTAGACTCAAAAATAACCACTTTAATGTAAAAAATGTTTCTAAGGATTGTCATTTCCCAGCCAACTGGATGCCGGTTTTTTTTTTCGATCATACGGAAGTCAGATAGGTACATTATGAGATATTCTTTATATTTTTGAAGAGAATAAATTAAGAACAAATTGTTAATTTTACCTTTAACTGCTAAATGAGAAGATGTTTCTAGGTCAATTTGTTTAGGACCTAGAGGTATTTCATTAAATTCGGCATTATTTTTCCTTTCAGCTTCTAGTTCTCGTTTAACCTGAAAAGTCCAAATAAGAAACATACCAATATTAAAATTATATCTAAATGCTGTATTATTTTTTTCCATTAGGTTAACATATGTTTACATGTTGATTACAATAACACAGTAATATCAAGAAGAGGTACCTTTGCTTGTATTGCAGCTAATGAAGTATTAAATGGGGTGCTTTTTGATTGAGTAGTCAATCGTGCAAGTGCAGCTTCTGCAGCTTGCCTGTTTACATCAGATGGTCCTGATCTTTGTGGTGGAACATAACCTGGCTTCTTACTTGATGAAACAGCAGTAGATGACGATTCAGTTAATTTATGTCCAGGTCCTGCCATTTTAAATTTTGCATCGGCTTTCTTCTTTTGGAAGAATTTTTTTACCTTGTCTGATATTTTCTCTGTCATTGTTAAAGCTTTATATTCTCGGAGTGTGCTCCTTAGGGAGCTTAAGCTTTGAAACACTGGCTCTGAGTTCTTCTATTTCCCTATTACTTGCTAAATAATGAAACCATACAATTAACTAGATAGTTTAAGATAATACGCAAATAAAATAGAATACTTACTTGGCTTAATAAATCTTTCGTGAATATCCCTTCCGTAGTATTTCCACGCAACAAATATCAAGAACAAATTAAGTATCAAAAAAGCAAAGAATATTTTTAACAACTTTAGCTGGAAGTCGTCAAACTCTAAAGCACCTACTGTCAACTGATCAGGTTCGCGTAAAACCTTTACCGAATCACAAAGGTACGCCTGTATGGTGTTTAAATAAATAAACACTCCATGAAAAATTGAAGAATTTGTAATATAATTAAAAAATGAAATCATTACAAGCAAAATTCGGCATTAAAAAATTGACAACCATATGATTTTGAACACAGAGCACAGATTTTGGATTTTGGATTTTGATTAATCTGCGTCTGTCAAAAGTCAAAAATATATAACAAGAGAAATCGATATCTGTATAAATTTGGAAAAAATATATACAAAACGCAGGAAGTTTTTGTAAGCTTTCAACAGATGGCAGAAGGAAGAATGTATAAAATCCTGTGTCTTTGTATTATTGGTTGCATATGTATGTATACAGGGCAAATACGTTTAAATTTAAACGTATTTGATACAGGGTTGTTCACTACATACGACAAGCATACGACACGGAGTCACAATGTAGATCGTAGCTAAACGATTAGATTTTTACAAATTGTAAGTTTTGGGTTCGTTGAAGGACTATTAGAGCTACAATTTAAAAATATTTTTACAAGATACAGAGTGTCCCAAATAAATAAAAAATATCAAAGTTGTATTTTTTTAAATGGAACACCCTGTATATTATTACGTTATTAGTTTCTACGATTAAAATAAAGATAAATTTGATAAAGGTTTATTACACTTAAACCTTACCGTTTTTGAAATATTTTCAATTCTTGCCGTCAAAATTTTAAGGCTTTGTATCTCCTAGGGTATCAAAGTTTTTAATACTAAATAGTTACTGAAGTTTATTTATTGATCAGTTATTGTGTTGCAATAATAAAAATTATACTACCTCATACAGAGAGTCTAAAATTTTATTTTAAATAATTACTAGCTTAAAAGGGCAATAACTTGTTTAATTTAAACGGAACACCCTGTATATTTTAAGAGAATCAGATGCACAATTTAATTGTCTATCAAACTGTATTATACCATTTTTTACTTATCTCTTCAAGTATCCGCAGAAAATGCATTTTCTTGTAATTTAAAACTCATTTAAATTCATTTATAACAGGGTGTCCCAGAAATAAGTGCAGATATTTTAACTGGTAGTATAGTTCAACCCCAGAAACACGCCTATGAGGTTTTTTTTGCGAAAAAAAAATGTTGAAAATTTAAAATTTTTCTTGACATTTTCCGGGAAATTTGAAAAAACTTTTTAGTGCCACTTGTTTATTCACCTGAGATTTCTCTACGGTGTATCTAAACCATGCAGTGTTGTAACCTCCTATGTTATCCACATTCTACATAGTTCTACATTTATAAATTCATAGAAAAATTTCTACTCAAAAATTAAGAATGTTAAATTTTCATCAGTGCTCATTATTAATAATTATTATAGAAAAAAAACACATTAATTATTTTTAGTACTTACCCTTTCAATGAAAACTTAACAAAAACCACCGAAAATTAACTAAAACATTACGTTTATGACGTTTACGAAAATGATTCATTATATTATTCACAACCAGGTCACAAAAAAGAAATTCCTAAAATGTTTATCGTAATTTAGAATTCAATATTTGTTTTCTTTCATGTTTCTCTGTTTTATTTGAACCACTGATTTACAAAACACCTTGAAAAGCGCACATTACTTTGAATACCTCTCTTATCGCTACTTTACGAACTACTTTCAATTTAAGACATGTTTCACTCAACAATTTTAAATACGTATTTTGTTTTTTCGCTATTTTTTCGATGTATTTTGACAGCCCGACCGTCGCGCGTTGGCCAAGAGTGCCACGTGTGAACTGGTCCTTTGAGCCGCGCCGTCGTGGCAGGCTTGCGTCAGACGACGATGTTAAGCAACGTTGCCGTAGTTACAACAATTTCAAATTCAAGAGATTCGAAGCAATCAAATTTGTATTAAATTTTAAAAATAAAACAGAGAACGTGAAAGGAAACAAACAAAACAAAAATGAATTGATTATTCGTCGGGCTGTTTTCGATATATTGAATTCTGAATTACGATAAACATTTTAGAAATTTCTTTTTTGTGACCTTATCAATAATCAATTCATTTGTGTTTTGTTTGTTTCCTTTCATGTTTTTCTGTTTTATTTTTAAAATTTAATAAGAATTTGATTGCTTCGAGTGTCTTGAATTTGAAATTGTTGAAACTACGGCAACCTCGCATGACGCAAGCTCGACACGCCGGCGCGACAAAGAAGCAGTGAGCAGTTACCAACCAGTGATGCGTGGCTGTCTTGGCCGACGGATGGTTGAGCTGTTGACGGAATTGTCGAAATACATCGAAAAAATAGCGAAAAAGCAAAATACGTATTTAAAATTGTTGAGTGAAACATGTATTTTCTTAGATTGAAAGTAGTTCGTAAAGTGGCGGTAAGAGACAATAATTCTCAACATTTATTCAAGAAAGATATTCAAAGTAATGTGTAATGTGTGCTTTTCAAGGTGTTGTGTAATTGTAAATCAGTGGTTCAAATTGTGATGAAGCCTCTATGAAAATAATGTGTTAAGTTAAAAATGGGGACTGTTATTTTAGCAGTTTTTATAATAGCACGTACAAGTAAAGCAGCACAATGAAGTGTATTTTAGTTAAGTGTGTATCGAAAAAGAGAACTGTCGCAGTTAATCGATCTGTCATAAGTATCTTTTTTAATGTTGGGTAAGTTTTTCAATTTAACTTTTAAACATTTAACTTTAAATTTATTTTATGTAATAATATCACAATGTTAAAAATGTAATGCATCTCTGCAAACTCCTCAGGTGTTGTGATTTTATGACTTACTTGTAAACATATACTTTCTTGTCCATATGGCAACACAGTGCGTCGAATTAACTGAATCCGGGCTTGATCCGGGTAATTGGATGTAGTTGGCAATATCTGCCGGCGGTTCTCAAAATGTTGCGATTATTTTTTTAAATTTTCAAAGTTAAATAACTCAGTTATTTTTAATTTATTTTAAAAATGGTAAAGAGAAAATATGTTTATTTTGACCAGATCTACCACCTCTTAAAATATCTGCACTCATTTCTGGGACACCCTGTATACCCATGGAATACTGACATTTTAGATTATTTATTATTTTACCAAATTTTTAAAGAGTATAAATACTAATATTGGCGATATAGTTTGTTTATTTCATTAAAAAATAAAAAAAGGTGTTTAAATATTTGTTAAAGAGGACCAATTAATATGATTTCAGTATTCAAACTACATTAATTGACTGTTTGCTTTGATTAATAATAATTGCTCCAAATACTAAAAAACTAAATTTTGTATGTGTATTAGACAGTGTAGTAAAAAGTAACACCTTAAAAATTATATTTCGTTTTTTGACAAATGCTTATTTATAACAGAGACATTCATTTTCATAGATAACTTATTATTATATTGATTTCTGATTCAAATCCACATTTATTTAGAATACTTTATTAACGAACATAATTAAGTATGTAATTAATTAGTATTTAGGCGGAAATAATGGTGGTATATTTAATTAATGGTATACTATTTATAAAGATTTAAATAGTTTACTTTTTGCATACAAATGGACTAGTAATATTATAATTTTGCTAAAAACGATAATATTACTAACCTGTACATTTTGTACATTTGTTGCTTAAAAAACAATCTAAAATGTCAATATTCCATGGGTATATTGATAAATAAGGTCTAAATTATAAGAAAATGCATTTTCTACGAAAACTTGAAGGGATAGGTAAAGGTGGTATAATACAATTTGATAGACAATTAACTTGTGCATCTGATTCTCCTAAAATATACAGGGCGTTCCATTTAAGTTAAACAAGTTTCTAGACACAAAATTTTACTGAAAGTACATACCCCAGAGTTGTTTGTGACTAAAGAAATTAATAATATCGTATTACTTGGCTTAACCCAAAGAGGTAAGAGGCTTGAGCCCCCAAAGCTCCCCCCTGGAGATACGCCACTATATCCCAATATTCCGGGGACATATAACTACTATACGGACTTTTGGAATCAAAACATGCTTTGTTTGTCCGTTAGAGCGCATCAAAATATAAAAAAATAACACATTTTTGAAGACATAAAATGAACCTCTATTTTTCTTATTTGAATGAGATTTGGGATGTCTATGTTTTGCTAAGTGCTTTAATATTTAACTTTCTTTAACATTTAACTTTAAAAAAAACAGGAAAGAGTACAGGGAGGGTAAAAACTACCCCCATCCCTACACGACCATCATATTTTCCAACATCACCGACGAGTGATTTTTTTCTTGTAAAATGATCTTTCTAGTATTTGCTACATTTTTTGTCTCTTGTAAAAAACCGCCAGATTGTATATTTAAAAAAAAACTTTTTAAAAAAAACTTTGCAAAAAAAGCAGAGCTACAAAATATACAGGGACAAATTTAATCTAACCTTAATAAAAATATAATAGTACAAAAGCTAGCACCGACCGTCGGGAAAACCAGAATTTTAAGAAAGCTGGTTCTTTAATATATCTCAGTGGCGCATCCAGAGAGTGAGTCTGGGAGGGGTAGTGGCAATATTTAAATAAGGTAATAGATTTAAATCAAATTTTCGCTTAAAGATATTGTGACTATGGAAAAAAATAAACTTAGATTGCTCTGGATTTCTATTTTGATTGATATTATTAATTTATTTTGTTACAATTTTAATTATTGCCAGATTTTCTTATTTATAAATTTCTTCCTGGGAGGGGTAATTACCCCCATTACCCCTCCCGTATATGCGCCCCTGTCTTTTGCTATGCTCTCTTGACCAAAGTGTGGGGCGTCTGGCTGCCGCACAGTGGATCGACGCAATGCAATTTGCTGGACATTCAGCAATTATGCAAAATTTCTAACTTAAGACATTTTTTTGAATAAATGTGTTCTAAAATCTTCAAATTTGTTAAAAATAGTCATAACTTTATTATAGATAACTTACTGAATAGTGCAGGGGTGTTTTTCCAGAATATATATTTTATTTGAATTTCCGTATTAAATTGACTAAATTACAAATTAAACTGCATAATTTCATACTTATTCCAAAACTTAATGATCTTTTTATCATATTTTTGTTCTATATGAATTATGACCTTGCGATTTGTCCAGTTCTTTAATACCAACATGTATTCAATAACAATAATTCATTAATTATTGTATAGTGTATCACAAAAAATTAAATTTTAAAGAAAATTTTCCATAGCCATCTTTGCTG